ACAGCGTAAAGGGGGAAAAAAAATATGAACAAGTTGTGGGACGAGGAGCAAGAGTTTAACGAACTCGTGGAAGACGTTAAAGACGTGCTTGAAAATCCGCCGGACTATAGTGCGCGGACATCGCCGGTGCAGATACTGCGCGACCGAGAGCTTCACGGGGATCGCACCGTGAAAAACGTAAACGTGACCACGTACCCCGCTTACGATTATTGGTCATCGTTCGCGCGACGAGAACTGTACACGCGGTTACGAGACCGGTGCATAAACGCGGAAAACGCAACAGACTATAAATGGGTGAGGGGTAAATTCGAGCGTGAACTCGAGGCTTCGTGCGGTAACATCGCAATAGACACGTATAGTGGCAAAAGGGCCGAGGTGGTGATGATAGACGACGTATACATATTCGGGTACAATTGTTTTGATGAATCGCATCCTATCGTTAAGAGACTACGCGAATCGTGTGACGATAGATGCGTGGAGTGCGAACAGTGCATCATCTGCCAAAGCCACAACGAAAAGGTGTTTCCTGTTTTTAACATTGTGTATCTAGAGCGGGCTTGCAAAACGTGCGAGCAACGTGCGTGTAAGTGCTCCGAATAACACTCTTTTCTAACAATGGAAGACTACGAGCGTGCGGAACGCGAACTGCTAGAACATTGCGGTCGCGTAGCTACATTGGGCGAGTGTTTCGCGTGGTTGGAGAGGTGCAACGAGTGCATCGAGAGCCTCGAGTGTCGCGCCAAGCGTCCGCGTCTTACCGTAGGGCACAGACAATCCGCGGTGGCGAGGATCGCGCGACTCGTGGGTGCGCGAACGGTGTTGGAACAACGGTTCGTGCACGTGGGTGGTGGTGGTGATCGCGAGAACTCTCTCGCTTGGCGCGAGATCGACGCCGCTTTCGCCAATCGCGTTCTGACCGGTGCGGTTATAAACTCCAGACATATCGAGCCGCGACAATTTCTCGAAGACGCCAGTAGTGTAGTGCTCGAGCGTGTGCGGGGCGCTATAGACATACATGGTAGCGTTAAAGTGAACACCGCCTTCAACGGCGAGTTCGTCGCGAGTGACAAACGCACAGTCATGGGGATAAACGGCAAAAACTGTGAAATCTATCGGTGCACCGATCTGCGCGAGTGGTACGCGTCGCGCGTTATCGTCCCACGTTAGCGTCGCTCGATGAGCACCAGGAACGCGACAGCGGGTGGGCGCTCTCGCGTATTCTGAACCTGACCGTCAACGTGAATAAACTCAATCCCATGCGCGCGGGGTGTCACGTTACATTGCCGGAAAGATTTAAAAGGAAGGAAGCAGTGATCAACGTGCGATCCATGGACAATGCGTGTTTCGCGTGGGCGGTGATCGCTGCTTTGTACCCCGCAAAAAGAAACACGGAACGTGAATCGTCGTATCCGCATTATTCCAAAGTGCTCAACTTCGCGAATATCGAGTTTCCGGTAACGCTCAAGGACGTTGCGAAATTCGAACGAACGAACGATATCTCGATCAATGTATACGGTATCGAGGATAACGAGATTCTTCCGCTTCGACTCACCGACTGCAAGAGGGACAGACACGTCAACCTCTTGTACGTGCAAGACGGCGACGGCCATTTCGCATGCATCAAAAATCTGTCCCGACTCGTCAGCACGCAAATTAATAAACATCATGGACAATAGTACATTTGCGACCGATAAGTACAATAAGAAAAAAAAATTAAAAGAAACAGTAGTAAATATTATAATAATTGTGTATGGTCGTTTCAGATGCCTCCACTACTTCTCCTCCAATGAAAAATTGGAGAGTCACGCGGTGGACTGCGGTAAAATGAACGAGTGCGCTATCCGCCTACCGGGCACAGACGACAAATGGCTAGAGTTCCGCAAGTACTGCAGGAAGCAGCGGGCGCCGTTTATCGTGTACGCTGACCTAGAGTGCGTGCTGAAGAAGACGGAGGATGCGTCATCGGCGGAGTCGTACGCGTACCAGCGGCATGAAGCGTTCAGCATAGCTTATTACGTGCACTGCTCGTACGACAGCGCGTTATCCGAGTACAGATGTCGGCGGGACAACGACTGCGTCAGTTGGTTCGCGAGCCAGCTAGAGGTCTTGGCGCACCGCGTGAAGAACGCTATAACGACCAACCGGCCCATGGACTTTACGCGCGACGACTGTCGGAGATTCGACAGCGCGACGCACTGCCACATCTGCGAGAGGCCGTTCGCCCCGGGTGACGAGCGGGCGCGCGACCACTGTCACCTCACCGGGCGATACCCCGGTCCGGCGCACAAGGGATGCAACGTGAACTACAAGGACTCTCCGTACGTTCCGGTTGTGTTCCACAACCTGTCGGGGTACGACGCGCACTTCATCGTACAGGAAATGGCGACGCGATTCCAGGGACAGGTGGAGCTACTTCCCCTGACCAAGGAGAAGTACATCTCCTTTACGAAACACGTCAAAGACACCAGTGACAAAGACTCGCGAAAGTGCGTGAAACTACGGTTTATAGACTCGTATAAATTCCTGAGTGCGGATCTGGACAAATTGGCGGCGTACCTCGACAAGGACAAACTGAAAATTGTGCGTTCCGAATTTTCGGCTCTATCGGACGAAGACTTCGATCTGCTCACTCGTAAAGGGGTGTTCCCCTACGAGTACATGGACAGCGTGGAGAGACTGAACGATACGCGCTTGCCGCCGCGCGAATCGTTCCACAGCTCGCTGACTGGTGATACCGTGTCCGAGAGCGATTACGCGCACGCCGAGAACGTGTGGCAGCGGTTCTCCGTGCGAACGCTCGGCGAGTACAGTGATCTCTACCTAAAAACTGACGTCCTGTTGTTGGCCGATGTGTTTGAGAACTTTCGAGACAGTTGCGTCGCGAGTTACGGACTCGATCCCGCGCATTACTACACCCTGCCCGGTTTCACGTGGGACGCGATGCTCAAACACACGCGCGTGAAGTTCGAATTACTCACAGACATAGATATGGTGATGTTCGTCGAGCGCGGCATACGCGGCGGTCTCAGTCAGTGTTCCGGCAGATACGCGCGGGCCAATAACAGGTACATGCGGTCGTACGACCCGTCGGAACCGTCGTCGTACCTCATGTATTACGACATCAACAACCTGTACGGCTGGGCGATGTGCCAACCGTTGCCCTACGCCGACTTTGCATGGGTCGACAACGCGCACAGTTTCGACTACACTACCGTCGCGTTGGATTCGCCCACCAGGTATATCCTCGAGGTGGATCTCGAGTATCCGCAACATCTTCACGACGCGCACACCGACCTGCCGTTCTGCCCGACGCGAGAGAAACCGCCCAGCAAGCGGGACGACAAGCTTCTCGCGACGGTAAGCGACAAGCAGCGGTACGTCGTTCACTACCGCAACCTGCAACAGTGCACGCGTCACGGTCTCCGCGTAACGAAGATCCATCGAGTGTTGGCGCGTCTCGTGTCGGATTACAACGCGCGCAAGCATCGCACCATCGGCATGAGGCCCGCCGACGAGACCACCGCTGTCGCCGAGAGACTGGGCACGGTGTACGGCGCGATAAAGATCGCCGGTCCCGCGAAGTTCAAAGTGGGCGACGCGGTACGCGTGAGCAAGTACAAGACGATCTTCGAGAAGGGCTACACGCCGAATTGGACCACGGAGGTGTTTCGAATCGTCAGAGTGCAGAGGACCAATCCCGTGACGTATCTCTTGGAGGATTACCGCGGCGAACCGGTAGCCGGAGGATTCTACGAGCACGAGTTACTTCGCGTCGCTGATCCCGACGTGTATCTGGTTGAAAAAGTGTTGCGCAAGAAGGGAGACAGGGTGTACGTCAAGTGGCTGGGATTCGACGGATCGCACAATTCGTGGATAAATAAACGAGACGTCGTGTGAATAATAATAATAATTTTCATTCGTATAACATATATATCAAAATATGTATATTTCAAAAATAAATATAACAGTATATCAAAAATATCGTTGTCGTTCTTTATTCCTTTCAATTATCTCTCTGTAACGTTACAGGATACATACGTGCGAGTACAAACTTGGTATAAAACTCAATACGTCTAGGTATAAGTAAAACTCAGTCAACCTCAACACTCGATACGTAAAACTCAACACATAAAACTCAGTATAAAACTCAACCTGTACAGGTATAAGTATACACTCAATACATAACACTCGATACATAAAACTCAATACATACCACTCGATACGTAAAACTCAATACATCTAGGTATAAGTATAAACTCAATACATACAGGTATAGGTACACGTATAAGTAAAACTCAGTCGACCTCAATACATAACGCTCAATACATAACACTCGATACGTAAAACTCAATACATAACACTCTATACGTAAACCTCAATACATAATACTCGATACGTAAAAACTCAATACATACTACTCGATACGTAAAAACTCAATACATAAAACTCAATACGTCTAGGTATAAGTATAAACTCAATACATACAGGTATAGGTACATGTATAAGTAAAACTCAGTCAACCTCAATACATAACGCTCAATACATAACACTCGATACGTAAAAACTCAATACATACTACTCGATACGTAAAAACTCAATACATAAAACTCAATACGTCTAAGTACAACGCAATATACAAGATACATAAAACTCAATACATAACACTCGATACGTAAAAACTCAATATATAAAACTCAATACGTCTAAGTACAACGCAATATACAAGATACATAAAACTCAATACGTCTAAGTACAACGCAATATAAAAGTATATGTACATAACACTCGATACGCGAGCTACACTATCAGGTAATGTCCCCACGGTAAGGTGTTCGCCGAGTCCGGTACGACGTACCGTTTGTCGTCGTACGGACTCAGAGCGATCTTCTTCTCCGACACCGTGTACACCCGTAACTTGGATCGTATGCACGCCTGCCTGCGCGCCATTTCGATATCCTCCTTCAGGCACCGGGTGTAATCCTCGAACGATATCGTTCGCGCTACGACGCTGCTCTTCACCCCCTTCGCCTTCTTAGTGTCCCTCTTTCCGTCCACGCGCAGCGCGTACATCTTCGCTCTGAGCCCGACGAACTCGGTCATGATGGCGCCGTTGTTCTCGTCCTTCATGAGACCGGGCACCTTCTTGTTCGCGAGAGGCATACCGTACGCGTTGTTCGCGGGATAGTCGCTCGTGTCGAATCTGTCTATGTCGCGTTTCATGGTATCGTACACGTCGTCGCACTCTATACGGTAGATCAAACTGTCCGTGTCGGTGTACATGATTTCGCATCTATCGCGAAACAGCGGCGTCATGTACTCGTGGTGAAACTCGTACAGGCACGTTTTCGAAATGTCCAGGATGCACATACCCACGTAAATAGGCTTGTCGAATTTCACCTCGAGTTTCCGCAATTCGACCGCTATCAGGTTCTCCGCGAAGACACTGCGGCTGCGAAAGTTAGGTTTCGCGATCAACGCCTCAACGCCGTATCGTCCTTCCCACGCCGTCACCAGTTTAACGTCGACGCGTTCGCGCACGTTCTCCATCGTCTTGCCGAACACCGCGTTGTTCATCAGTTTGTACAGGTTTTTCTCGAAATCGTTCGTCGCGCGCGTTCTAAACTGCATGTTGAGTTCGATGTAGTCGACGAGCCAGGCCGATTGCGCGAATCGCAACACTCGATGGATCTTCGTTACGCGAAGACCGTGACGCGTGCACTGTTGAAGGTTGCGGTAGTGGACGACGTACCGCTGCTTATCGCATACCGTCGCGAGAAGCTTGTCGTCCCGCTTGTCGGGCGGCTTCGCGCGCGTCGGGCAGAACGGCAGGTCGGCGTGCGCGTCGTGGAGACGCCGCGGATACTCGAGATCAACCTCAAGGATGTACCCGATGGGTGAATCCAACGCGCGTATAGTCGAAACTGTGCGCGTCGTCGACCCATGCAAAGTCGGCGTAGGGCAACGGTTGGCACATCGCCCAGCCGTACAGGTTGTTCAAGTCGTAATACATGAGGTACGACGACGGTTCCGACGGGTCGTATGCCTGCATGTACCTGTTATTAGCCCGCGCGTATCTGCCGGAACACTGGCTGAGGCCGCCGCGTATGTCGCGCTCGACGAACATCACCATATCGATGTCGGTGAGCAACTCGAACTTCACACGCGTGTGTTTAAGCATCGCGTCCCACGTGAAACCGGGCAGGGTGTAGTAATGCGCGGGATCGAGACCGTAACTCGCGACGCAACTGTCGCGAAAGTTCTCAAACACATCGGCCAACAACATAACGTCAGTTTTTAGGTAGAGATCGCTGTACTCGCCGAGCGTTCGCACGGAGAACCGCTGCCACACGTTCTCGGCGTGCGCGTAATCGCTCTCGGACACTGTATCGCCCGTCAGCGAGCTGTGGAACGATTCGCGCGGCGGCAAGTGCGTATCGTTCAGTCTCTCTACGCTGTCCACGTACTCGTAGGGGAACACCCCTTTACGAGTGAGCAGATCGAAGTCTTCGTCCGATAAAGCCGAAAATTCGGAACGCACAATTTTCAGTTTGTCCTTGTCGAGGTACGACGACATTTTGTCCAGACTTGCACTCAGAAATTTATACGAGTCTATGAACCGTAGTTTCACGCACTTTCGCGAATCTTTGTCACTGGTGTCACTAGTGTCTTTGACGTGTTTCGTGAAGGATATATACTTCTCCTTGGGAAGTAGATCTACTTGTCCCTGGAATAGCATCGCTATTTCCTGTACGATGAAGTGCGCGTCGTACCCCGACAGGTTGTGGAATACAACCGGAACGTACGGAGAGTCCTTGTAGTTCACATTGCAGACCTTGTGCGCCGGACCGCGGTACCGCCCGGTGAGGTGGTCGCGCGCCCGCTCTTCAGCCGGGGCGAACGGCCTCTCGCAGATGTGGCAGTGCGTCGCACTGTCAAATCTCCGCCAGTCGTCGCGCGTAAAGTCCATGGGCCGGTTGGTCGTTAGCGCATTCTTCACGCGATGCGCCAAAGCCTCTAGCTGGCTCGCGAACCAACTAACGCAGTCGTTATCCCGCCGACATCTGTATTCGGACAACGCGCCGTCGTACGAGCAGTGCACGTAATAAGCTATACTGAACGCTTCGTGCCGCTGGTTCGCGTACGACGCCGCCGATGATGATGCATCCTCGGTTTTCCGCAAGACGCACTCCAGGTCGGCGTACACTATAAACGGCGCCCGCTCCTTCCTGCAGTGCTTGCTAAACTCCATCCGTTTGTCTTTTGTGCTCGGCAGGCGGATGGCGCACTCGTTTACTTTTTGGCAGTCCTCGCTGTGTCTCTCCAGTTTCTGGTTGGAGGGGAAGTAGTGGAGGCATCTGCAAACAACAAACACTTATTGGTACAACATTCTTTTTTAGCTTACTATTGTATTTTACTTATCGCACTTACCGGTCGCAGAAGTATTTCTTATTCTTCTTTTTATTAATCTACGCGCTCACGAGGCGGGAGAGATCTTTGATCCACACGAAGTGGCCGTCGCCGTCTTGCACCTACAAGAGGTTGACGTGCCTGTCCCTCTTGCAATCGGTGAGCCGCAGAGGGAGGACGTCCCCGTCCTCGATGCCGTACACGTTCACCGACACCGAATTCGAGCGCTCGAATTTCGCAACGTCCTTAAGCGTTACCGGAAACCTCGATATCCGCGATGTTGAGCACTTTAGAATAATATGGATACGACCCTGCTCGATTCACATTGTTGTCTGTAGGGTACAAAGCAGCGACCACCGTCCACGCGAAGCACGCATTGTCCATGGATCGCACGTTGACCAGCGCTTTCTTATTTTTAAATTTTTCCGGCAATGTAACGTGACACCCCGCGCGCATCGGATTGAGTTTGTTTACATTGACCGTCAGGTTCAGAATACGCGAGAGCGCCCACCCGCTGTCGCGTTCCTGGTGCTCCTCCAGCGACGCCAACGTGGGCTCGATAACGCGCGACGCGTACCACTCGCGCAGATCGGTGCACCGATAGAGTTCACAGTTTTTACTATTTATCCCCATGACTGTACGTTTGTCACCCGCGATGAACTCGCCGTTGAAGGCGGTGTTCACTTTCACGCTACCGTGTATGTCTATAGCGCCCCGTACACGCTCGAGCACTAAACTTTCGGCGTCTTTCAGAAACTGCCGCGGTTCTATGTGTCCAGAGTTTATAACGGCACCGGTTAGAACGCGATTGGCAAAAGCGGCGTCGGTCTCGCGCCAAGCGAGAGATCCGTCGCCACCGCCCACACCATGACCCACGTGCACGAACCGTCGTTCCAACTGTGTTCGCGCACCCTCGAGTCGCGCGATCCTCGCCACCGCGGATTGTCTGTGCCCGACGGTAAGACGCGGAAGCTTGGCGCGACACTCGAGGCTCTCGATGCACTCTTTGCACCTCTCCAACCACGCGAAACACTCGCCCAAGGTGACAACGCGACCGCACTGTTCTAGCAGTTTGCGTTCCATACGCTCGTAGTCTTCCATTATTGGAACAAAGTTATTCGGAGCACTTATGTCCACGCACTATAGTTCGGCGGATTTTAAAGCACGTCTTTAACGTCTTCCACGAGTTCGTTAAACTTTTGATCCTCCTCCCACAACTTGTTCATCACTGTTCTTTCCCCTTTACGCTGTGCAGATCGGGCACACACTGCACGGGAACACCAGACACATCAGTTTCCGGCAATTGGAGCACGTTCCAGCGCTGAATCCCTCGATGAAATCGGTATCGTGCTTCCTGATCAACAGCATCGACCCGACTTCGGCATCGGCGATGCTAACCATGCACTCTGCACACAGGGCCAGCGCTCCGCCTGTAGAGTAGTAACACTGGATCTGGCAGTGTTTAACGCGAAAAACACCCAATGCCCGGATTTGCGCGTCCGGGAAAATTTTTCGCACACGATCGGAAGCGTTCTCAAGATCGCCGACGCATCCGATATCGTTCGATAGAACACTGTCGTCGGAAGACTCAACGTCCATAACGTCTTCGACGTCGATCATCCTATCCATCACTTCGTCAATCACTATGCATATTACGATCATACATAACACCATGATCGGAGCGCGACACTTAATGAGGCTAACCGCGCTTCCGACTCGTTATTTATACCGTTGTAACGATGCACCTCGGACTGCATCGTTCCCGGTAGCTACTTTTTGTATATTGTAATTCGTATTGGGCATGAGTATTGTATCGTTATCATTATATGTAGTATTATTCATCCGTTGCATTGTAGCAAAGTTTCGTCGACAGTAGCTATCGCCGCTCCGACCGAACGCGTCCGAAGATCGCCGAACGATCTGCGCTTCGCGCTATCCGCCGCTCCGACCGAACGCGACCGAACATCGCCGATCGACAATCCCCTCCGCAGGAATTGCCAACCGCCAAGCGATAACGGAAAAGACCGTAATTAAACGAGCGGGAGCAATAATTAGTATATAACGCGTAATTATTGCTCCGGGAGCTCTCTTCTATCCGAACCGCCGCTCCAGTACGAATCCTGCTCCGATCCTAGCTCCGGTGATCCGACGCGAAAAGGGGGTCAAGTGTTCTTGGTCTCCGTCAAGCGTTCTTGACAGTCGATCACCAAAACTCCTGATCCGCTGGCCGTACGACGCGAAAAGGGGGTAAAGCGTTCTTTGCCTCCGTCGAGCGTTCTCGACAGCCGTATGCCAGTATCCTAGAACTACCGCACCGACGCGAAAAGGGGGTGAAGTGTTCTTCGCCTCCGCCAAGCGTTCTTGGCAGTCGGGCGTTAGCGTATCCGTGCCTTACATTTTGCGAAGCGTCCCTCATTGCATAGAGGGAACGCCCACCGCGTTATCCGCGCCGCGACCGTCATCCACCGCTGGCGTATACTTCGCGTACGCGTATCCGTATTGTTATACCGCCGACCGCGCCTCGCGTCCGTCTTGGGATTCGGAGATTCCCCCACGTTTTCCGCCGTACTCGCGCCGTAATTTACACGTATAGTTTTTCTGTTCGTGCCGTCCGTAATATCTTAGTTTTTCTGTCCGCGCCTCGTTGTTTTTTTTCTGTACACGTCTTGTATACGTTTCGTCTACTTGCCGTCTCGATACGACACACATACACCTGCGTACACCGACACACGACACATACCTGTTTGTCATTCACATACACACACGCACACATACACACACCTTTGTAAATATACACGATACACGCAATAAACGTTTCTGTCTTTCGTCTTAAAATACTGTTTAATCACTGTTTTTACCTTACATTCCAAGAGTCACACACAGTATTACTTCGGATTTAGATAGAGATGTTTTTAAGGTGGGAATTAGAAGCATAAATAAATTAAACAGAGTTATTAAAGCTCATAAAGATAGCACAGATTCTTTACATAAGAACAACGTGGTTTACAAAATCAATTGTGGCGAGTGTGATTCTTCTTATGTGGGCCAAACGAAAAGAAAATTAATCACGAGAATAAAGGAGCATAAATACAATATGAGAGGAGATCCTTCAAAATTTTCGGTGATATCTGAGCATTGTATTCAAAATAATCATAGGTTTGATTGGGATAATGTTCAAATAAAGGACATAGAGTCTCATGGTAACAAAAGACTTATTTCTG